CCTCTCCACAGTGCCATGTGACCAGTGTGCGTCCCTTGCTACCAAGACTTCTTCAATACCATACCTGTCCAGTAGATCTCTGAAGTCACCTCTCAATGAGCCGTCCTGATCGACTTGCACTTTGTCAGGGCTTCCGAAGTCCGAAGACTTCTAACCAATCCATCATCGATTTTCTGCATTGAGAGGATTGAGGCTTCTTGGGTCTGCCAGGACCTTCACCTGAGCACAGGTAGGATGCGAGGGTATAGGATGTGGCCATATCCACCATCATCAAAAAGGAATGCATCACATCTTCTTGGTCAGGTATGTGTGCAATATTCATGGCCACACATTGATTGAAGCTGTTGTATTTTGGCACCGCCGCTGTTGGTCGCGCAGGACTTCTACGTTCTTTCTCGCATGTAGGCATGAAAACAAGGATGCTGCTCAATCTTTTCCAACATGCGCTTCCAAGCTTGGCTTGAGAGGGGGTTCTCGAGCAAGTAGTGTCGTCCACCTGCAATTTGAAGCTCACAGACCTCTTTCACAAAATCCAGATGATCTAGTGCGATTTCTTGCTGAATCCTTCTGACTTCTTCATCTAGGAAATTGCTGAGTGGAGTCCATGGATCACAATTGAACCCCATCGTCACCAACCTGGGCTTCTCAACACGAATCTCCTCCAACACGGCCCGTCGGTCTTCCTTCCTGAGGAAGTTGTCACCCAGCAAAAGGTCTCGGGGTTTCCCAAAAGCCATGTTGTTGTCTTTGGCGAGGGCGGTAACACCACCATCACTTCCACTGTAGAGCTCCTTCACCAACACCCTTCTCACATGCGACTTCGATCCTTTCCTGAGCTCCTTCCATAGTGCCCGGCCATGTTCTTTGGCTTCTTCTGCCATATTTTGAATCTTCTTCCTCAATTTGCTCTTCATGACGCGGGCGGTCTCAACATTGAAGTCTTTGGCCTTCAATTGATGAAAGACTTCTGCGAAACTTGTCTCCTTCTTCTTGTCCTTGTCACGTCCAATGTCTAGGAGTAGGTGTCCCCCAGGGCCATAGTCCATAGTGACCTTCTCGGATCCAATCGTGGTGAATTGGATTGTGGGCTTTGGCATAGCCGTGAGATCAATCACCGCACCCAGTTCTCGCACTGAGGAAGTCCAAGCAGGAGTGGTACATCAGAATTTGGAAGTCGATGAAGAGCAACTCTTCGCTTTTGTCCGGCGATGTTGACGTCAATCCATTGCTGATGTTGCACCACAACCGGGGCATCCGCATTGACACCCTTCAGCAACTTGTTGGACTGCTGCAAACATGTCTCACTTCCAAACTTGATGATGAACTTATCCAATGTCCTGTCTCCCCCGCAACCGATCAATGCCGCGGTGTCCACAACACACATTCCAGCAGGGACTGTCTCATGACTGGCATTGGTCATAAAGGTCAGGCAGTGTGGGATAGTAGACATGTCAACGTCATGCGTCATGAATGCATCCACACTCAACCATGGCATACCCGATGTCTTCGGCCCTTCGTCCATCATGTGGGAAACCATCTCAAAGGCCTGGGGTCCACAATCTTCCTCCATGTCGTTCAATCCAAGGCACTTCATTGCATCCTGGCATGATGAGAGCAGCTGACCTGAAGCCGATGCCAACATAGCTGCTGCCATGCCTGCACGTTGAAGGAAACCACCTTTGCGACCTCCCTTCTTACCATGACCTTTCTTCCCACCTTTCATGCTTGACGAAGGCAAACCTGAGTTCTTTGGGCATGTCTTATCACCACGCCAATGTCCCTTTTGACCACAGTCATAACATTGCGTCCTTGCCTTGATCTGTTGTAGTTTGTCTTGCAATTGACCAGCATTGAGTGTCAACTTGCCATCCAGGGCGATTGCTGTTCTGTTGTGTCCAATGGCACTTGGTTGAAATCCTCTATTGATTTTGCCGTCTCGGACAGCTTGCCTCTTTCTGGCAGACTCTGAGGCTCCTTTGCCCATCTTCTGAATGGTAGCTGCGAAAACATCCAACTCATCAAATGAAAGGTCTTCCACCGTCATGACCTCAATGGCATGTTCCATATCCTCGATGTCATATTGGATGTCTTCTTCAACCTCATACACCGGAACATCATCTTCAACTTGTTCCTCTTGCCAGTCATCAACTGCATAGGATCTCCTCCGTCTCACCTTCATAGCTTGACCGTTCCTCCTCAATAGGAAAAGCCCATGATCGCTTGCCACCTGGGTTGTAGCTGTTCTGCTGTCGAGCCTTGTAGTTGCCCTTCCAACCTTTGCTTTGCGGTTCATCACCACCATCCAACTGAAGAGCATCGCTTCAACAATCTTGTCCCAGCCATACTCATTACCAGCTTGTCCAAGGATGGCTTGATGCTGTGGTGGAGTCACGCCAGCATTTCGGAGCAGGAAGAAGGCCTGAAGGTCGGTTGACAGCTTGGTATGACCTTTGGTCAATCCGGACAACTTTTCATATTCACCTTCTCGTGGACTGATGTAGTCCTGTATGCTCTCACCCAAGCGCCGGCGACCCTTCTCAAAGAAATAATCCTCAAATGTCTGGGTCTTGAGGAGTGGTGCCACCTTCTCACACGCAGCTCGAACTGTCCTTACCACCAGCTGTACGGCCGCCTTCGGTCCAGCATTTGCAGATGGTTCAGCTTCGCTGATCTGGAGCAACTTCTGAGCCGCAATCTCTGGCTTTCGATGGCATAGAGTCCATGCCCTTCCATGGAGAGCATTCTTCAGCTTGGCAGCGTAACTTGTCTTCTCCTCCCTTTGAACCGTTTGGAACCCCAGCCAAACTCTCTCCTCGTACTCCTCTGCTAGCTTTGGATTGCCATCGCAATGCACCACATTTGACTTGGGATCAACATACAATGATTGTCCTGTCTGTTGTAGCTGCATCGTCAACAAAATGTCAACAAAAATTCCGTGCACCAATGTGCAACTGCGAGCTGTCAAAACTTGCACAAAATTGAATTTCCAGCAACTGCCTCGGGGTCAAGGTCACCACCACTCGAAGATACGAAATCCGGTGGAATAGTTTCCCAAACTTGTCCTCAGCTTGCGACCCAGGAACCAATGTCAGCACTGCACGGCCAAAAACAAGGTCCAAACGAAACCAGCTCTAGCGGGGTCAAAGACGAAGCGCCAATGGCTCACCTACTAAAGCACAAGGCTCTCACTACCAGTGTCAAGAACGTTGAGCCCTCTCGCGACCGTTTTCACGCTCGCGGATGGGTGAAGGCTCAAGGCCTAAAATTCGAACCGAAAGGTCCGACCACGGTACCTGGTTGCTACAGGTGCAAGTGTCCCTCATGAAACCTCAAGAACCTGGTTTGTTGTCTTCACAGTACATGGCCAGCGGAAAAGGGCGGACACCACCAGTGACAGGCCTGGGAGACACATGAATAGAAATGCTGCATGGCCAACGGACAAGGGCGGACACCAGCAGTGACAGACCTGGGAGATGAATAGAAATGCTGCATGGCCAGCGAAAAAGGGCGGACACCAGCAGTGACAGACCTGGGAGACAAATGAATAGAAATGTTGCATGGCCAACGGAAAAGGGCGGACACCAGCAGTGACAGACCTAGAAGACAAATGAATAGAAACAGCGAAAAAGGGCGGACACCACCAGTGACAAGCCTGGGGGACAAATGAAGAGAAATGCTGCAAGGCCAGCGGAAAAGGGCGGACACTAGCAGTGCATGGGGGACAAATGAATAGAAACAGCGGAAAAGGGCGGACACCACCAGAGACAGACATGGGAGACAAACGAATAGAAATGTCACCAGCAGTGCAGGGTTGGGAGACAAACGAATAGAAATGCTATATGGCCAGCAGAAAAGGGCGGACACCAGCAGTGACAGACCTGGGAGACAAATGAATAGAAATGCTACATGGCCGGCGGAAAAGGGCGGACACCAGCAGTGACAGATGTGGCAGACACATGAATAGAAATGCTGCATGGCCATCAGAAAAGGGCGGACACCAGCAGTGACAGGCCTGGGAGACAAATGAATAGAAATGCTGCATCGCCAGCGGAAAAGGGCGGACACCAGCAGTGGCAGACCTGGGAGACAAATGAATAGAAATGAATCGTCAGCGGAAAAGGGCGGACACCGCAAGTGACAGACCTGGGAGACAAATGAATAGAAATGTTGACAAATGAATAGAAATGCCCGGAACCCGACCACAAGCACCGAGAATGAAAGGAAGGTGGGAGACAAGCCAGCCGGGACCACAAGCACCCAGCCTGCGAGACAAATGAAAAGAAGTGGGAGACAAATGAAAAGAAGTGGGAGACACATAAGAGGAAGTGGGAGACAAGCCGGCCGAAGCAGAAAAGAAGTGGGAGACAAATGAAAAGAAGTGGGAGACAAGCCGGCCGGGAACCCGACCACAAGCACCCAGCCTGGGAGACAAATGAAAGGAAGTGGGAGACAAGCGGGAACCCGACCACAAGCACCCAGCCTGGGAGAAAAATGAAAAGAACTGGGAGACAAATGAAAGGAAGTGGGAGACAAGCCGGCCGGGAACCCGACCAGACCATCCAGCACCAAGGCGACCATTCTTTAAAGCATTGAGAACCCCTAACAGTAAACTGTTTGGGGAAAAAGACCGTTATAAGTTATAATTGCTTTTAGGAAAACACTCTTCAGGGTGTGACGGTCGGTGCTCCTTAGAACGTTCGGCTCACGCCTCAGACTGTCCTAAGAGCGTGCAACGGTCGGATGTTGTTTTATTTAACAGTGTCAGTGTTTTCTTTAAAATTGTAGACCTGCGCCTGATTTTCCATTCTCCTTGGAACAGTCTCTGGCTCACACCCCTTACTAGAAACAGCAGCGCTAGCAGCGCTATGTCACCACCCTCTTAGTACGTTTGTTTGGGGGTATAGTGTGGCCAGGGTGGTATCACACATTCTTGCATAATTATATCAACTTATCAACTTTACTAAGCACAGCCCAGCTGTGCCGATTTGCATCAGAGAAGCTGAAGCTCAGCAAACCCAACCGGTGGATCCATGGTCAATCCACCAGGCCGGACCTCGCCCACTAGCAGCAACGATGGCCATTGCAAAGGAAGTTCACTAAGCTGCAAGCAATTGTGTAGGTCGACCTCACTGCTTCGCGAATCAACTGTGGGACACCCACACAGATGTTTCGTAGCATCGACACCCTTGCGAAACTTGCGAAACTCCTGAGACGTCCCGACTCAGCGTTCTCAAACAATTCCTTGACCTTCTCTTCGCCCTGTTGGCCAAAGACATTTCCACTGTTCATGTATCTTTTCGCTGCACCAGTGTCGCAGGCCTTGAGTTTCTCGCTCAAAACCCCTGAGCCAATCCTGATTGGCAAATCTCTCCACACTGTGACAAGGGTCGCTCAATCGCCTTGATCCATCCAAGGGTCGTATTCAGCAAAACACCTACAGGCGCATATGGTCTGGTGACGGAGGCGCTGCTCACCACAACAAGGCGCTCAATTCCTTTCTCCAAAACAACCTGTGCAAAGGCAAACAAACAATACACTTCTAACGAACTTTAAAAGGTTTCAAAGTTCCCACCTTGGCACACTTCACCAGGCCGCCCTGAGTTGTTTGATGGAGACGGTGACCGGAACATTGCCAAATCAAATGATATGTGTCTATTTCTCGTTCTCTGTTTCGTTTAACGGCTTTTGTTTTTTATCATATATTTTTCGCAATTGTTTTGGATTGTATATGACCCCCCTCTATGCGAAGGAGGGTTTGCAGTCCATTTTGTAGATATAAAATTGTCAAACAGAGGTTGTGAGGGGTACATTTGGTAAGCCCCCACCAACACGCATTTTCTACACTCAATGGTGTGCAGACACATGCACACAGCAGCTCAAAAACACTTCAATAACTTACTCTTTCATGGACGTGCGCGTTCAACAGCGCCCTTTAAATCCCAGCCTGGAAAGCACTCCACAGATCTCAACATCAAAATCCGCCCGCACCGAAGGTGCCGTTTAGCTAGGGACCATTTTCGCTCTAGAATTCTGTGTTTTTCACGTTTTTGGAACCGGCTTAAAATGCTGGAAGATGAATTCGTGCTATTTTGAAGCCCCTGGTGATGCAAGAAATGCCATTTTCTTCCTTTGCATGATTTGAATCATCTGCGCGGTAAAATGTAATTGGACTGAGGCCGGACATTTGGCTGAACAGGCTCCCCCAACGTGGCTCAACATAGCTTCCATATTGCCTAACATAGCCCTAGAAGTCACTATCTAACGGACGTGTCTGCGAGATAGGGACTTGAACGCAAAACATTGCCCAACGAGGGCTCAAAAGGGACTGGAATAAAGTAAAGAGATTGTCGGCGAGATAGGGACTTGAACGTCGTAAACATAGCCCAACGAGGGCTCAAAAGGGACTGGAATAAAGCCCCCCCCAACGTGACCGAACATAGCTTCCATATTGCCTAACATAGCTTTAGAAGTCACTATCTAAAGGACGTGTCCGCGAGATAGGGACTTGAATGTCCGGATATTTGGCTCCACAGGAGCAGAGACAAGCAGAGATCAGGTCCAGGAACGGTAACATTTTCAGGTGGCTCAACATAGCTTCCATATTGCCTAACATAGCCCTAGAAGTCACTGTCTAACGGACGTGTCCACGATTACTTGAAAAAGCACTCTGTCTCCAACGAACTCTACCAACGGCACCTGTTCCGTGACCATAGTGACTTCTAGGACTATATTAGGCAATCTTGAATTTATTCCAGACCATTTTGAGCCCTCGTTCAAGTCCCTATCTCGAGGAAACATGCTTGAGATAGTGACTTCTGGGGCTATGTTCGACCATATGCAAGCTATGCTCGTGAGAAAATCTTACCGTTCCTGGAAAAAGCTATGTTTGGTCACGTTAGGGGGGGTCTTTGTTCCAGTCCCTTTTGAGCCCTCGTTGGGCTATGTTTACGACGTTCACGTCCCTATCTCGCAGACACGTCCTTTAGATAGTGCCTTTCAGAGCTATGTTAGGCAATATCTTTACTTTATTCCAGTCCCTTCTGAGCCCTCGTTAGAAAATGTTACCGTTCCTTATCTCTGCTCCTGTTGAGCCAAATCCGGCGAACGTCTCGAGCTACCTGCGGAAAAGATACACCAATTTGCGACGTTCCCACACTCTAGCGCTATGTTAGGCAATATGGAAGCTATGTTCGGCCACGTTGGGGGGGGGGGGGGACTTCTGGGGCTATGTTCAATGGAAGTACCTACCTTGACCCGTTCCTGGAGCATGACTGCAGTCTTTGAGCCCTCCCATGCGGTGCGCAGAAAAGTACGCCAGCATAGACCCCAGATAGCAAAACACATTTGTGGGCAGCGCCATCCAAAGCACACTGCCATGAGAATCTGGCAGCCAACGCCTAGACATCTCGCAGCAGCACCCTGCAGCGGCACCAGCACCCATGCTCCAAAGTGCACGCGCCCACACATCTGGCACGCACCCATGCTCCAAGAGCACACAGGCATCTCTTCTTTTACTTGAAGTAAAGGCCCTAGCAGCTCAGCTCGCGCTATCTGATGAAAAAGGTTGGGTTTGATGCCTCTGCTGAATGTCAAGGCAAAATGCATGCACAAAACTCTATCCAAAATTGAGCAAGCATTTGCGCACGACCGAAATCCATGCAGTGTAGGTGGCTTGCACACTCATGGCACTCACGCTTGTTTGTGGGAATGCCTTTTGGCCACCACTGTCTCAACACCACGTCAAATCCTGAGAACAATAAATTTTGAAGCAACGTCTCAACTCTCCACACCTCTGTAAAACGTGTGGCCCGGGGGGGGTGGCGAAAGCTAGGAAGGAACATGCGCTTGGGACACCGGTCTTTTTGTCGCCTCTCCTCGTTCCAAAGCAACCTATTGTTATTGATGGCTGCCCCTTGAACTGCTTGATGTTAGAATGAAGCGTGAATGAGCCTTCTTCGGCTAGAGTCACTAATATGGAGTTCCAAAGTACCGGTATTGCTTTAATCGGAGTTGCAGCCATTTACTGCGTGCACGGAGCAACAGCAGCTAAGCTCGGACAGCATCAGCAGCAGCATCAGCAATAGCAGCCACGTTGGTCACTGAGAAACGGAAGGGGGGAGTTGAACGAGGGAGGGGGTATATCCCTCATATATCAGGGGTTAGCATGAAGCTACTGCTTGCAGGCATAGGATCCGTCGGTGTAGAATATCATACTGTGCTTTGGCGTCAACGGGGTTTCAGGTAAACCGTCGAGCAGCAGCAACAGGAATAGCAAGGAATAGCACCAAGCAGCTGCAGCAGCAGCAGCAGGGAGCAACAGCAACAACAGCACCACAACAAAGAAAAATTTGGTGTCAACGATGGTTGTGCACGGTGGTTAGCGCAAACCATGGTTTCGTGCAAGCGGTGTTTGACGTAAACATTATGGTTAGTATCTGCGGGTGGTGGATGCAAACCGTGTTGCGGCGTAAAGCGAGCAGCCAGCAGCAAGGAGCAACAGCGGCAAAGATCGGACAGCATCAGCGCTGAGAAACAGAAGGGAGGAGTTGAACCCGCGGGGGGGTTATATCCTTGATATATCAGGGGTTAGCACTCAGGTCGTGGCTTCCCACCCCTCTTTGCTAAAGCACGATAGACTCCAGCCAGCGACAGCTAGCTTTCGTAATGGCACCCTTACGTCGGAGGCACATGTTTTTTGTTTCCTCCCTCTCCCTCTTCCTCTCTCCCTCTCCCTCTCCCCCTCTCCCTCTCCCTCCCCCTCTCCCCCTTCCCCCTCCCCCTCTCCCTCTCCCTCTCTCTCTCTCTCTCTCGCTCTCTCTCTCTCTCCCTCTCTCTCTCTCTCTCTCTCTCTGTGTCTGTGTCTGTGTCTGTGTCTCTCTGTCTGGTCTGTCTGTCTGGTCTGTCTGTCTGGTCTGTTCTGTTCTGTTCTGGTCTGGTCTGGTCTGGTCTGGGTCTGGGTGGGTCTGGGTCTTGGTCTTGGTCTGGTCTGGTCTGGTCTGACACTCTCACACTCTGTCTCTCTCTCTCTCAATGTACAATCCCCTGCACTCCATCGTGGCGCTATCACTCACTCAAGCATCATTGATCCAAGCATCATTGTCCACATCCTTGGGCTCGGTTTTGCCTCTGGAATAGGCGGCCTCAAGTCCAACAAGGCGGGGGACGGGCCCTCAGATGTTTGGAGCGCAGCTCGCGAACTAGGAACCAGACTGCAAACACAACCGCCGAAACACCGGCCAAGGCCAAAGCCAAGGACCCGGAGTCAGTCACATCAGCCTACGGGCGCTTAGACATGTTCGGCTGTCGTTCACGCGTGTTCGCAAAGTATTCCGATGCACCTGCCCAACTTCCACGTCTTCACGGTTGACTTTGCTGCCCTCAGGTGGGAAAATCGGAGGCGGCAAACCCTGAACAAGTTCGATAAACAAATCCGCTCCTCTGATCCTTTCCATTTGCCCGATCGAGTCAGCGCCCTGGGCTTGGCAGGGCTCCTTGCCAGCGCCTGCAAGCCCACCATCGAGGCAATCGCGACGTTGGAACGGTTTTGACCAAGCCGGTCGCATCTTTCACTATCCCATAAACCTATTTTCTGGCAGCGGTGGACAAGTGTTCTTGCTCACGCAAAACGATGCAAACAAAGCCCGTTTCCGGGAGCAACGCAATGAGCTCCAGTTTCTTGTGAAGAACAACAAGAACAACAAGAACAACAACAACAAGGTACAAACAAAAACTGCAGCCCCGTTACAACATATCTTGCCCCTTTGTCTCTACAAGGGGGTGGAAACAAAATCTGCAGCCCCGTCGTTGTTTTTTGACCTCCCCCCCAAAAACAACCAGCCAACAAGTACTTTTACCAGTAGTGGTAGTGCTTGTATCGTTGTTGTAGCAGTCGTAGGAGTAGTCGTAGTAGTAGTAGTAGGGGGTCAGCTGAGCCTCTGCAAAGCTTCTACTTAGAACCTCTACCCCGTTGTTGTTGTTTGAACCCCCCCTCAAAAGGTGACGCTATCTCCACCCCTCCTAGAAACAAAGACTGCAGCCCCGTTGTTGTTTTTTGGACCCCCCTCCAGAACAACACCTCAAAAACGCTAAAAACGGACCAGCCCAGACTTCAGTGAAACAAGTCCAACAAGTCCACCTACTTACCGAAACCAACATTCGCTCGAACCTTCAACCGTATCCCTAACCATGTCCCCTTGAAGTTCCAAAGTTACAACATGTGACAGTTATGCTGGGCGGCTGTCTTTGTTTCTACCAACAACAACAACAACAACAACAACAACAACAACAACATCAGTTTAGCTGCGGGGCGCGCACGTGGAACTGCGCTGTGCGGCTAATGTGGCTCTTGTGCAGTGTGACACGCCAGCCAACGCCAGCGGTTTAAACGAAACATGGCAGACAACAAACGGCGGGCCTTAGAGAAGAGACGCCCCATGGGACGGAAAAAAACTGCAAACTGATCAGCCGGATCAAATCCGCCCGCACCGAAGGTGCTGAGGCGTTGCGTAAGCTTCGAGGCAATCAACCAACCAGAATAATCCGCACGCAGCTGCTAGATAACCAACTTAAGCGTTAGCTTAGGGGGAGGCTTTTTTGTGTCTAGAGTCTAGAACGTGATTTTTTGATTAGTTTTGAAAATGGGAAAAAAATCATACCGTGTGTAAGATTCTCCGTACGGCCGTACGGCTTCGGAGGTAAACGTTTGCAACGCCGGTTATGCAGCTCGGGGGAGACTGCAATTGTTGACATCGTGGGTGCGTTCGTCCGTGCGCGCTGCCCGAAAGAGACAGACAGACTGACAGACCGATACAGACAGACAGAGACAGACAGACCGAGACAGACAGACCGAGACAGACCGACCGAGACAGACCAACCGAGACAGACAGCCAAGACAGACAGACCGAGACTGTGCGTTCGTCTGTGTGTCCTGCCCGACCGGGACAGACAGATCGATAGACCGAGACAGTCACCGAGACAGACATACGGAGACAGACCGGCTCCGACAGCACAAGTTGCCGCTTCCCACACCAATAACCAACCCGCATCCTCGTGGGGCGCTATACCGACACATACTCCATTGAATCTGCGCGGACGGCTTCTACCGCGAAGCGGTTTGAATAATGTTGATTGAATATGAATGAATATGACCATCATGAAGCTCAGAACGGGGTTGACAGTTACAAGTGGTTCCGCGCGCGCATCCGTTCCAGAACATTGCCACGGTCAATGGTGATGGCACGGTGCATTGGGCTGAGGACAATGGCTTGGTCAGCGATGAAGTGAAGACGGCCATGGCGGAGTACAGGCATCGTTGGAGTAGGGATTGGTGCCGGACAAGAGTTCATAGAAAATATGTGGCTGGTATTGGTATACCTTCCCGTGATGGTTTACTAGTGGCAGTGAAGGACATGGACACACTGATGAATTAATTCGTCCAGCTGCACGTCGTAACAAAGAATTTGGAAAGCATCAGGTCTGAAGATCGATTCCAGGATTTTGTTTCGGAATTGCGAGATGTTGCTTTTTAAATAGATTGCCCGAAAAACTGTGAAACCTTGGGTGGGCACTATTGCTTTGTGTGGGTGGCCAACACCGCGGTGCTGGTATTGCGTTGCACCATTCCCTGCATTCTTGCGTCACACAGCTAATATGTCATGCCTCGACCTGCCGAATATGTGCACTGCACTTCCGGTACGCAAACAGAGATTTCGCGCGTTTTCCACTTACTGTCCCACAAGTTGGGAAGACAACGGTGTAGTTGATGAAATGTAACCTCTTGCTGGACAAGTGTGTTCGTGATGGAGCTCTTGCCATCATTGGGGATGACTTCAATGCATGAACTTGAGGAGACGGAGGTGGACGAAAGGTAGCATGTCTGCGGCTGCTGCTGCTGCTGCTGGTTGCTTAGTCGTTGCTGCTGCCACTGGTGCCACTGCTGCTGCTTTCTGCTTTGCTGTGCTGCAACTGCTGCTTTGCTGTTGCTGCCGCCGCCACTGCTGCCGCTGCCGCCGCCGCCGCCGCTGCTGCTGGTTGCTGCTCCTGCTGGTTGCTGCTGCTGCTGCTGCTCCTGCTGGTTGCTGCTCCTGCTGGTTGCTGCTGCTGTTTGGCTGTTGCTGTTGCTGCTGCTACTTCTTGCTGGTTGCCGCTGTTGCTTGAATCCTGAAGGCTGCTGCTGCTTTGCTGTCCCCCCTCTTTCAATTTTGTCTGCGCAACCCCCCAAAAACTGGAGGCCAAACTTGTTTGAGCTTTGGTGCTTTGCTGCTGCTGCTGCTGCTGCTGCAGTCGTTGCTGCTGCCACTGGTGCCACTGCTGCTGCGCTGCAACTGCTGCTTTGCTGTTGCTGCTGCTGTTGCCGCCGCCGCCACTGCTGCCGCTGCCGCCGCCGCTGCTGCTGCTCGTTTGCTGCTGCTGGTGCTGGCGCTACCTTTTTGCTTTGCTGCTGCTGCTTTGCTGGTTTGCTGCTGCTGCTCAGGTCACTACCAAATTCTCCGCGGCGCAGGGTGGAGTCGAATGGGGGGGGGTGAGGGGTAAGTTCCCCCAAGAGTGGCAGTAGAGTTACTGGACCTGATCGAATACACCAAGTAAGGCCACAAAGACAAGTGAGTGCGCGAGCGACAGCGATGCACACCTTTTCTATGGCACGGAGTGCAGTATTGGGCTTCAAAGTCTTGAGCCAAATGAATTACAGCGAAAGCTGACTGAAGAGATATATGCTAAAGTACAAAAGCTTGCAAGAGCAAAAGAATGCAAGTGAATCAAAAGTTCCGGCTTCGCAGAACTTGACCGTAGATGCCATTCTGGCCTACGTCTATTGCGTCAGATCATCTATACAAATCTACGAAAGGCAAATCTCTGCTGTCAAATTTTCCGTAATACCGGAAGTTCATTCAAGGCTTTTCAAATCATTAAATCTAAATCAAATCACTTAAGGCTTTATGCTGGAAGTTTATCTGGGTCTCTATTTTACGCAACTCGCTGATGTGCAGTAGCCGGAATGTCGGCTTTGCGTGGGTATCGTCTACCAGTTACGATAGCCTCTGTGCCCGGAACTCCAAGAGTGCCCGGTCTCCCACCAGGATGAGCACCAGTCCTGTGGTCGTTGCTGCTGTCTCTGATTCTTTAAGCGCTCTATTCGCTCCTTCTGCTTCTGCTGTCGGCTAACGAGAAGTTACACTGAAAAGGATGATGATAGCCCTCGTCGCTTGACTTAAGACAAAAGTCTTTGAAGTGCTTCAAAAACTCGTTAATCTTAATGGTCGTTTCTTTCTGTCGAGGCGGTCCTTCGTAGCCTACTCGGCCACGGTCTTCCGGAATATCGGATGACCTCTTTCACAACGTGTGCATATCCTTGCCGTAATTGAGCACAATCTGCAACAAGCAGTCGCAGTCTGCATCCTGACCTTCCAAGGCGGCAAGCAGTTCTGTGGCGAGGGTTGAGACCTCCCAGTTGTATGTGATCCGCTTGCTTGATTCACGCCTTCTGATTGCTGAAACAAGAATTCGGTCAAGGATGGTAAGAACGGCGCCGGTTGCCGGATCGGAACGTCGATCGGACGGGAAGCTGCGATTGGCGAACATATTTGCATCACACACGATGACGTCTGCTTGATCTGCCACGGCCGTGATAAGGATCTTCGTCAGGGCGTTTTTGCCTGCTGTGATACCAGCGGCAAATGCATGGGAGTTAAGATGGAAAGCGCAAACGCGAAGTTCTGGCATGTGCTTGCGCTTGCAGTCGTTCAGGCTTCCCGTCCGGAATATCGGACTCTCGTGGAACAATGCTTCAGCGTCCACTGGATCTGCGTGAAGAAACGAAGTGGCTCCCTGCGCAACGCCTAAGACATCAGGGCACACAATTGCTTCCATGTGGTCCGCTGGGTCTTCGCCCTCTTCTAAGGCCTGGCGGAGGTTCTTTCTAACACCTCTGTCTGTGGTCATACCGCCGTGAGTGCTTTCTTCCACTTTGCCCCAAATCACGCGGAATGTCGCGGCATGGGCGAGCCAGTTGAGACGCTCACCTTCGAGCTCGATTCGGCGAATTAGCTCCAATCTAGACGTCATACCGTCTGTAGAGCAAACGAAGGCGATGGGATGAGACTCACCATCGGTCAAGGTGTCGTTCCAAGCCATTCGCCTCGAGAAGGATCGTAACACACGCCGTGTTCCTGAACAAAAAGTGCGGCAAAACATTGTACTGATCCGTGTCGGCGAGCTCCTGGGGCAGTCGCTGCTTACCGTTGAAGTGCGGCAGACGATTATAATGTCTCCTAAATTGAGTAGCAAGACCGAAACGTGTTCTGTCGATCGGAGAAGTCTTGCTTCGTCGAGATCAAAGTCTCCCTGATTGGCACAATAGCCCTGCATATAGCTGCGGCTGAGCTCGACGATCTGTCTCATCTCTTCGCCGGAATATCGGCAGTGAGAGTCGTAGTAGCAGCTTGGACGAATGATCGGGTACGGCGCGATCTCGGGTTGCTTGTTCCAATGTTCGAAAACTGAGGG